CACAATGAATCATCTGGCTATTACAAGTAACCTTCCTGACATCAATGTTGTTATTCCTCCAATTAATCCAGATTCTACCATTTTCATGGCTTTGATAGTTATCTAAAAAATTGTTACCAACATTTAACTTCTGTCTAACAGAGCTAGCTTTGGAGCTCTTGACTCTAGTTTCAATCAAGATATTAATATATGCATTAAGGGAATGGAGACGGGAGCTAGCCTCCTTAACTTTAGCAGATTTATTCAGCCCCCTTATATTCCAAGACATTAGCATTGACCAGTATTTTGAAGCTCTAGGAGATCATTCAAAATTCCTAGAGCATCAAATCCATTATCAAATGAGAGCATACCTGATTGGGGATCAATCTGAACACCTTTAACTTTATCTTTCCCACTGTCTAGAACCTGAGTCCACTTTTATTCCCCTCCAACAATCTGATGTTGGATCTGTACTTTCCTATTACCCTGATACTTAACATGCTGCACATTACCAGTAGGAAGTTTCTCAGCTGGAGAGATTGAATCCATATTCAAAACACCTGGGGTAATTTCTTTTAGATCATCAGAAGAGGCTTTTGGAACCCAAATCTTCTCTTTTAATTTCTGTTTCTCACAATTATGGCCTAATTTTTGACACTTCCTACAGAAAAGAGGTTTCCATTCATATTCAACTAGCTGTGACAGTTTCTCCCCATGACTATTTCTAATCATAATCTCACTTGGAAGTTCCTTAGTAATGTCAATTTCTACCAGAATACGAGCATACGACACCCTATGTTTATTCGCCGTACATTCATCAGTCACAATAGGGGTCCCAAGGATGCTTCCAATTTTGTTCAGACTCGAAACTCCCCAAAAGACAAGAGGCAATTGTGGGAGATTTACCCAGATAGGGAGTGCTCGCAGAAGATCATTCTTGAGGTTAAAATCTTGTCTCCATTCACGCAGAATCATAGGGAAATTACGCACCGAATAAGGACCTTTCATTAACACAGAATCTCTATCTGAAAGAGTGTTGAATTTCAGCAAAAAAAAACTTCCTCATTGTAATAGATGGCAGGAAGTTGAAAAAAGTTCCAATGCTTCGTCATAAACTGTTTAACCATGTTCATACTGAGTTCACCGGCTAGAACATACATAATCAGAGATGATTCCCAAAACCTAACTTCTGACATGATATCCTCTTCAGTAATTTTAGCTTTTGCCACACCATTTATTATTGACGGAGCAATAAACGCCAAAGCCCTACCATTAGCTGGGTTTCGATTTTCATTCAAAACATCAACCCATAGCTTCCGAGGCAATTCCTGGTTTACAGATTTCACACCTTCTTCCTCATTTGAAGCTAGAACATAAGGGGTTTTCATACTTGTGATTCTAGTGAACGATGGTACTTGATTTTCCAAAGACACCAGTGAGCCAACTATCGGAGCATCTACAATGCAAACGGTGGGGGATGACGGTGGAACCACTTTCTTAGGCCGCCCTCGTCTCGCCATCGCAAAAATACCAAAAAGACCAATGGGCCAACTTACAAAACTTTACTGGGTCTGTTATTTGTAACTACACCTCCTGTTTTTACTAAAATCAACTTAACCCAAATAAGCTTATGCAATTTAAACTCGAGTGGGCTTATTTTAATTTCAACCTCCCTTTTGCTAACAACTATTTAATAATTTAGAACTTTACAGTTACTCTAATAATTTCCATTTACGAATCGCATGGGCCAATGGCCAACCTGCCTCGCGAATGGATTCATGGATACGCGTGTCTTTTTGATTTAGAAAGCCCCGCTTTCCTGAATTAAAAATACACCCCTAGTCGGATAAAGACAGGCCATCAGATACTGCTGTACCATCTTTAATTAAATATTTCTTCTATTTTAATCTCGAAAAATAAAATCGTCGCAACAGGAAAAATTTGGGGTACGAAAAATATATCAGGATCAAAGGTCCAAAACATAACCAAGGAAAACCAGGTCACCAACAGAACATACGGTCACCATTAGAACAAAGTCGCCACCTGTACCTATAAAGATTATTCCCTCCTCACTCATGGGTAAAGACTAGATCAAGATAAGGACGGGTAACTCAAAATCAAGGGTACTCTTGAAAAACTATCGCTATATCACCTACATGAAAATGATAGCCCCTCATTTGTACCTCATCTGAGCGTGGGCAACATGACGACAACAGTGAAACCTAAGTCAACTAGCCAACATGTTCCACTCTATTTCTAATGTTCCTATGGTTGTCGCTTAGGCTGGGTATTGGGCCTTTTACCTCTTGTAACACCCACCCAATCATGAAAACAGATCCAACACAACAGTATCACCAATATATGGAAAATGATAAAATGCAATGCAAACATATGCTCAAATAAACATGTACAAAATGAACAATCTATAAAGCATAAAAATAAACACCCTAGGAAAAGAGAACAAGAGCTAGGATCGACTCCGGGATGGACCAACAATAGGTCAATCTATCCCCAATTGAGTCGCTAGCTGAAACAACCGGCTTAACAATCAACTCATAATGAAATCAATGAAGCCGCCATCGAACATTTTTTATCCCACAGGAAGGGAAATGTAAACATCAAGTAAACCTGAGAAGGGTGAAATCATGGTCAAATGACCGAGAGATCAGGTAAAGGAGTCTGTTACGCGAGAGGAAGGTATTAGCACCCCACACGCTCGTAGTACTCTATGATATCCACTCTTGTTGTTCTAATCAAAGGGTGTGTAAGAATTTATATCTAAATTGTACATGGAATGCATGCAAAGGAAAAGAGAAAATAATGTAGGGAAAATAAAAGTTGTGCTTGTTCGGGCCCTGCCCCAATGCCTACGTATCCCTTTAAGGAATCAGAGTAGCCGTAGTTCAGCTTAAAGAGTTTTTGCTAGTTTGTATTTTTTAATGAACAATATTAATTTCTCCTTCTGCTGTAACTCGTCCTTTGGAGACTTATGCGTCAGCATAGAAGTGAATTAACATGTTCTTTTGAAAAAGTTTGAAAGAAAAGCCCGAAGGCATAAAATAGTTTGCATTGGTTGATATCTTTTACCTTAAAGAAGGATTTGGAAGTTGTTAGATGTCTTATGAATTTTCAAGAAAAAAGAGTTTTAGTCTTAATGCAGGGATGAAAAAGAAAGAAAAACATCTGAGGGAGACTAACCTAGATCTATCCCTAATTTTATCATATAATGATTGATCTTAAAGTTGAGTTTTGAAGGGAAATCTCTACCCTATGTTGACATGCTTGGATAGCAATCCTAATTTCTATCTCAAATCATCATCTATAGATGAATCAAGAAGTCCTAAAGGAGCATAGCAAGGGTCTATCACCTAAAACTATGTATATCTCAAATGATCATCTATAGATGAATCAAGAGCTCCTAAGGGAACATGATGGGGGTATATCATCTCAAAACACACACAAAGATGAAATCAAGCAAGCAAGCCAATAAGCTCAAGAGAGTTAACTCAAGAGAGCATACATAATGTGTCATGAATAGCGCATGCGAACTCAAGTCAAATGTCGAACCATGATATAGAAGATCAAGGTAGGTAAACCAATCAACAATAAAAAGGCTCAAGAGAGAACACCTATAGATATCCTATCTAGGATAGCATGCCGAAGAAATTTTAACAAAAACTATCCTATGGGGAACATGCAATGAGAGAGAAGTCGTGATCTTAATTCCTAAGTTGAGTGACTCATCAATCAACAACTTAGGAAAGCAATAAATTCCTATAGGGAGAATGCACTGAGAGCGAAGTCGTGATCTCAATTCCTAAATTGAGTGACTCATCGATCAACAACCAAGGAAACAAACATAAGCACAACACATATAGAAAATAAAGTGAGGAATGCCTCCTACAGGTCTTTAAATAGCGACTTCGAGCACATGCTCTTTATCCCATGCTCCCTACTTCACGTGATTTCTAAAAAGCGATAAATGCCCATACTATACATGATTTCTAGAAAGTAGTAAATACTAAAATGAGGTAAACAAGGGAAAATACCAAACGAATATCAATCCGTAGCAAAGCGCACCAAAACAAAGAAACCCGACGATCTTCGCGAAAGCTTCACCGATCAAAGAAAAGAGTTGGAAAACAAATGCGTGGAATAAGCATCGAAGCATCATCGATTTGAAAATAAATCACAATCGAAATCTCAAGCGCATCCGCATAACGCATAATAAACCTGCATAAGACTCAAATCTCAACAAGAAAATATGAATTACCAATCTCAAATATAATCGAATAATCAGGATTTAATTCCTAAAATCACATAAAGAAATCTAACAAATTTTTATATTTAATTTTATTATTTTTTATCATGTGAACAAAGTTTAAAAACATAACAATTCACCAAATTTTTAAAAGAATTCACAAAAAGGAAAAAGAGGCCCAAGGGGTTTTCCAAACTGGAATGCATGAGGTTTGCTGAAGAAGTATGGCGCTGAAGGCCCATCATTCAATGTCCAATAAGCCAATTGCTTCAACAAAAATCAATTAAAAAAAACAATAGCTCGGGGCCTCAATGATGTGCAGCACAGTCCAATGACCACACTCAACACAACTGCCAGCGGGCCCAAGTATTGCCTCTTCCACTTCTTCGTTAAACATTGACCTGTTCTCTTCTTCTCTCTCGCGCCGCAGAAACTCTGATCAACACAACAGAGCCTTCTCCATCTCACTCTCTCTGTAAAACATCTAAATCTCCGTCTCAACCTTCTTCCGATTTGTCTCAAATTAAACTTCTCTGTCTCTCTTTCACGAGGCCCGTCTTAATCCTCCTACTCATCTCAACTCGATTTCTCCATAACTCAACCTTCCATACCGTCTAAATCACCAATGAAAATTCGATCATTCTATGACCAACTATTCCTCTTTCTTCAACTTATCTGTGTTTTCATCGTTGATATTGCGATTAAGAGAAGCAATGATGCACTGGCGATGCTAAGAACCAAACGAAGACGATGATGACGATTAAAGATACAATGCGTTTGCATATTGCTGGTAAAGATGATTGAAGTCGTTGTAGAGATTTAATGGTGATGAAGATGTGGAATTATGACGAAGCCTTGAAGCGGATGAAGATGAATATTGAAAGGTTGATGAAGATTTCATATAAAAATCAGAGAAATGTAGAAATGAATTTGAAGAATTAATGACGACGGTTCGTGAAATGCGGCAAGGAGAATGCCGTGTAGTAGATGAGTTGAAGATTGATACTGTAGTGATAAAGATGGAGATTATGCTGAGAGATTGTGGAAGAATTCGGTTATGAAGCATGGCACGTGGAAGATGAAGCAGAATCAAGGTTGAGAGAGAAATTTTCTGAGTTTTTGCGTGGTGATTCTTCTATAGAAATGAAGAATCATTAATGCAAGGTGAATTTCTGCTTTTATATTTTTGTTAGTCTGTTAGGGAATTGAAGGGTATCGATTAGGCAGTTAGAGAGGTCTAGTTTTGGATTCTGTTTTGATTCGGTTTTTTAGGCTAGTTTTAAATTTTGTTAGGACAATTAGAGTTTGTTAGAGTCAGTTAGGAAAAGTTATTTAGAAATCAGTTAGAGATCTGTTAAATTGTTAGTATTTAGTTATGGACTAAAAATTTGTTGGTTTTGTTAGATGGTTAAAAATTAGTTGACATTTAGTTAATAACTATTTAAAGGTAGGTTAGAGAATTTCTGTTTAGAAGTTATTTGTTGCTAACTGTTAGTTAGAAACCGTTAGCAAGTTAGAAGCTAGTTGCTGTGAAATTCTATTATGAATGTTAGCCAAAGTTTTAAAAAAGAGATGGCCTTTCTGATATTATTTTCTATTTATTTTCTTTCGCAATGTTCTGGTTCAGGTTCGTACATGGTCAAGAGCATGTATACAACAACTCTGATTAGAGTAGCATAATAGGTGATGTTATGATGCAGCCAAAAGTTTAGTAATGAAAGGCAATCATTGTGAACCGGTTTGAGCTTGGTTGGTTTGGACTGTATGCAATGCAGGGAACCTCTTCAGTGGATATGCACCTGATTATGGATAAAATAGTGAACTAGTTTTGAAGCCTGCTTAAGCTGGTATTGAACTGGTTTTCCTCTTTTACTCATGATTAATTTTAAAACCAGTTTGTCTATAGGTAAATGCTGTTGTGCAAAACTGTTTGGTTAATTGGTTTTGTTTGGATTGTAACTTTCCTGATTTTTTGACTCAATCGTTTCTCTGCGATTTGTCTATTATGGCTTTGGTTCTGACTTTGAAATGCCGCAGGTATGGATATGGGGCAAGGTAGGTTGGTCTTGACAATGTGTTTGTGACTAATGGTGTAGCAGCAGGGTACAATCATTGAAGGCTGAAGACACATCAACATTGCTTAATATCAAACTGGGCCATAGTTCATGAGGATAAATGTTATAGAGTGGCTATTTGGTTTGTACAGGTTTAAAATATTAGGCTTAGGACTAAATTTCCATGTAAAATATTATGAATGACTTTTAATGTATTTTAGAACTTGAGTGTTCTTTGAAAGGATTTGGATGAATCTTGACTTTTGGTTTATGGCCTTTGATTTTTCAATATTGAGACATGATATCCCGAACTGGTTTAGAAATTTTAGATATAAATGGAAGCTGCTTGAGACTTGTGATTGGAATTGAATAGAATATCCCAAACCAAATCATGAGTAAGCTTGAATCCAAGAATTTGAATGAAACTTAGAGTTTTGGAATATTAATCCATTTGCCAAACTTGAACCAGAATGAACACTTGAATGGAATTAGAATGAATGAAAATATGTTTCCCTTTGAATCTTGTTTCTTGCATTCGAAATGAGGCATGAATTATTTCTTGCACTTTAAGAAATTTTGATTCTCTTGATAAATCCTCAACCCTTGGCTTAAATTCTCCATAACCAAATTATCTTGCAATTCAATCTACCGGTCATATTAACTTGAAAACCAATAACCTCATAACAAAATTAATGTCCTTGAGGAACCAAAAGAATAAGAAGAAATAAGCTTTTATTGGATGCGAACACCTTAACCTCAATGGATAAAATACCACTTTTAATTGGTTCTCCAAGCAAGTTAAGTGAATTATCCTTGAACCGTATTAAAAACTTCTATTCCAAATTCATATTAAATCAATCTTCATATGCAACTCAAGTGTTCTTGACACATTGAATCCCATTTGACTTCAAATGGCGCGCTTGATCAATGAACCCATAGACTCAACATTGAATCTCAACTCCCGGATGCTTTATATCCCAAGCCCAAAGTTAACTAGAAAAGCAACTTCGAAACATGATATAAAAATCTCTAATTAGTGGAGTGAGATGTAGATGAATCTAAATTGTATTCCCTTGTATTAAAACCGTGGTTTATGCCTTGTAATCCAAGTAATCGATTGAATTGACCCTTGGATGATAATGAGCCACATGAACTGGGAGACAAACCCTAGTTTCGATGATAAGCGTAAGCATAATGATGAATATTCTTACTCCATGATTCACAAGAACCACATACATGATGCACATCCCTTTGAAAGAAATCCAATTTAATGACTTAAACCTAATCCATGGAGCCACATCTCACATAATGCACAAAACCATGTGCTTGGCAATAGGAGGACCTAATTCATAATTCACCGCTTGAGGAACGAACCAAGGAAATCAAACTTTATTGAACATTTATATCTCAAACCACTGTAAAAACCATATCTTGTACGCCTACCAATATTCTAAACCTTCGACACTTTATTCAATGCAAATACATGCTAATGACCTAAGCTAGATAAAAGAAATTAGGAGGGAAAATTTTGAAGTGTAACAACTTAATCTTTATTCAAACCCACTTCGAACTTAACAAAACATTCAACAAATCAAATATCTCCCCAAAAGGGCATGTTATCTCCATTCTACCGTGATACCGGCCGTGCCTATTGCTAGAATGCATGAGTTAACATCGCCCACTAAAAAACACTAACAAACCAACATTTTATAGAAGAACTACGGTGTTATGATTACCCTCTCAATTTCTCAAGAATTATCTCACATGATCTCTATTAATTCAAGACTGCACAAGGTTTGATCAGCTCAAGACATTTCCTCAAGCACTGATGGCTCAAAATTAGGGTTTGAGTTTATACAAGGACAATTGGGATTTTAATGCTTCATATGACTTTCATGGATCAATTTGGACTCCCAATATTGCTTATGTCAAGTTTCAAGCTTTGGATCACATTTTTGCTCAGTCAATAGATTAGTTGACCTAAAATCAACTATATTGGTGAAAAAGTCAACAACGGTCAATTTAAAGTCAAATTTCATAATTTTTGATCTATATCAACATTATGAACTCATATATGTCAATTAATCAACTTTGGATCACAATTCCTCAAGAAATTTGATCAGATCATTAAAAGGGCAAAATGGTCAAAATTAGGGTTTTGACTGAGAAGGTTCAATTTTTGACTTTTTACCTAACACATGACTTGTTGGTTTGAGAAATGATATCAAGGATTCAAATGCATCATTTTTACCTAATGGAATGGCTTAAAACATTCCCCAAAGATCAATTGATTGATAGTTGAGTTCAGTCAACTGATGAAAAGTCAACTGGTACACTGAAAAATCAAACTTTGACTTTTTGATCAAAATCAAGTTTCGAAAATCATATTTCATCAAGACATGTTAAAATATGAAGTTTGTTCATAAATAAATCAAAAATTCAAATTTCATTTTGAAAAGTCAAAAGTTCCATGACTTAGAAAGTTTTGTAAGTGTTGGAAAATTTACTTTTTTTCGTTACTTTGTGCCAAATTTTCACCATGATACAAGATGATTTAAGGAAAACTTGCAACATGAAAGTTGTATATCTCAATGAGATCTAAAACATTGTAGGACATGAATTTTTCTAGAAAATATTGGATCTCAAGTTATTAATTCATAAAGACATGTTCATGAAACTAAAAACACTTAGTGAAAGTTTGCCCTAGTTAGGCAGATTTTTGACCTACCTTCACGGCAACTTTTCACCTAGTTCCAAATTGAATTCTCAAAAATGTCCAACATGAAGGTTGTAGGAGATGTTACAAGCTTTCCAAAATTTCCAAGAACTCCTTGAGATCATTCTTGATTTAAGAGAATCGAAGAGATAAAGTTAGGGTTTCATTCTTAAATTATAGGTCATTTTGTGATGTGCAAGAACTCAAATCTCAAGCCCATGCTGTATAATATTTGCTTTGAAGGCCTTAAACTTGTGTTTCACTCCATAATTAATGGTTTACACAACTGATTGAGATATTATCCAATTGATTCAAGCATTATCCAAACCAAATTCCCATTAATGGAAGAAAGTTCATACTTCCATTTTAGAAAAGTGGATTTAATCACAAAGTCCACTCTCCTTGAGCTTTGTAGTTATTCCTTCTGCATACAATAAGTCTATACGCTCAGAAGAAGCATGTTTAAAGTGATCAACCACCCTACCTTGCCTTGAAACCATATTTGTCCATGTTGCTTCAAAAACAAGTCAAAATCCACAAGCATGTGATTTTGTACTTCTGACTTCTACAAGTCTCAAAACCTTTTCCTATATGTTAAGACACTCTTATGCAACATAGGACACGAGTTTACAAGCCTCCAAACTCCCTCAAACTCCCAAAAACAAGAAATTTCAACACAAGCACAAAAACTTGTCATTTCTGATTTTTGAAACCAATCTCCAAATCCCCTCGTGCGTTTCTTGGCCAAACCATCCCTAAAGCTTCTAATACACACATATATGAGCTATTCCAACCCATGTTTTCACATTGTAACACCATTTTCCTCAAACTCCATAACCGAAAAATATAGCTTGCACCTTGACTTCTCCAGCACGATTCAGCCATCCTCAACATAAACTAATCATTGCACTAGCTTCCTGGAGGTTCACTGGAGCTAACTGGATCATCACAACGCCTTGAGAGCTGCTCTAACAGATTTCACGATTTCCAGCTTTGAAGGTAATTTTCTGAACTTTCAACTCTCCATATAGGCATTGTTAGGTTTCCATTTTCAAAGACAAAATGTAGACATCATTGCCCTGAAGCTAACCATGTTCATAGTTTTCATTTATATTGCTTAAGCTTAAAGAATTTTAAGATTGAAATTTTTGGAAAATCAAGATTGCGATTAGGGCCAACAAAATTAATGCTTATCTTTGATATATAGTTTTAATGAGTTACATTTCTGAAATCATGCTGAACTTGCCACAAGTTTCATGTTTACATTTTTCATTTTGGTTGAGAAATGAATAAGAT